ACTTTCTCAGGGTGACCTTATAATTATGAAACGGTGCAAAAACCGATAAACTGTTCTGAAAAAGTTCAGAAGAATTCAGCAGTGGCTAAGGAACGGATACTTAGGTTATTCATGCTGGGGAATCTGTTCGTGATGCTAGAAAAAATCCTTAATGATTACTTTTTTTGAAAGTGCAAAAATTGAGGGTGACCTTATAATTATGAAACGCACTGTATTTCGAGTCCAGTATACTGTTCAGTGATTTACTGCGATTTTCTTCCTATCAGAGGATTTTTTGTCCGCAAATCAGCGAGACCTCTCTTTTTCTTGTGTCAATCAGTTTTTTTTTGAAAATGTACGTGAAGGTAAAAAAATCAACTACTGCGAACCCGTCTGCAGTGAGCAGCATACTTCTGCCCACAGTACGAGCGATGGTGCCGTCTCCATCATCCCAAAGGTTTTCAGATTGATATCGCCCTCAACTTAAGACCCGTAGGTAACACGGAATGAAAGAAGCAAAGCGTCATGCAGTTGGTCAGTACTGAGCGCATAATCCGTCTTTTCTTAGACAGGATCCTGAGGCTACAGACGCCACGTGAAACCATTATCGCCTGACCCTAATGCAAATAGAAAAATGTTCAAAAATGTTTATTCAGGCTGATGATGGATGGGCTGAAAGCTTATTGTTGCGCACTTCTCATGCGGGACATAACGGTGGATAACTTTGCCATTCGGCTTCAAATCGCCGACTTTTTGAATGTACGCTTCTAGAGGGGCTTCTCTAAGGTTTTTATCTCCGTTATCATCATTTTTTACAAGGAATTTCAGGATGATGGGTTATTCAAAAGACTCGTGGTGTTCCTTGCCACGAACCGCAAGGAGGTTTTTGCTCACGAGGTACTCCTATTTTTGCTGCAGCTTTTATAATCTCTATCTCCTTCTATTGATGACTTTAATTTCTAAGGACTGGGTTGAATTACGAAATGCCTGTCCGAAAATGGTATGTCGAGTGGTGGAAGCTGCGTGGACGTATGCGGACAGCCATTTTCCTTACATCAAATTCACCAAAAGACGTCGATTCTGTCACTGAGTTTTATTTTTTTTTTCATAGTGGTATCACTGTACATATAGCAATAAGATATTTTTATGAGTACAAAGATATTTTTCTAGGAAAAGCAGTCACGTGAATAGCATTCTTTCTTAAAGTGCAATTTTCCCGACAGAAATCGAATCGTGGCGGTCGTTTGTCTAGTTAGTGCTGCCACTCAAAAGTCACTCCTGTATAACTGTTGGTAGAAAGCGCGGAATTTTCTTGTGCACTATTGATGAAGAGAAGCGCCCTGATCTCATAGCGTTTCTGATTACTCCCACGCTGTTGAAAACCTGCTATAATTGGAAAAAAACAAGTACCTTCCAGCACTCCTTCATTTCCTCTTTTTTATTGTTGTAAACAAGAGTTGTTTCTGTTTTTGTTGCTCCCAAAGTAGTCGTCTCTGTTCTTCCTGTTTTCCATTACAATACAGCAGTACAGGTCTTCCATACCGCTTCTTTGGTCTTACACAGGAGATATTGGCAGTTACCATCATAGTGATCGCTAATTTCAAAAATTGTAGTTTTGTTGGCTAATTTCAGGTTAGTTAGTGAAGCCCATGCAGTACAAGAGCATAAGGGAACACGTTAGCCTGGCTTCCCATTGGGAATTGTTGCTCATACTCCGCTTGATGACTAGTGGTGCATGCACTAGTCATCAAGTGGAAAGCTTGAAATTTACAGGAACTCTTACTTGATATTTGGTACCGGAGTTATTTAGTCATGATTTTTTGTAAAATTGTCGTTCCTGCTCTGGCAATGATCTTCAGCTATGATGACTAGCGGTTAGTATTCGATGTCAGGTTGTCATCTATTCTTGTGGAATGTTCAGTCAATTTTTCTCAAAGGTAGGGCGGAGAGCGTTATACAGTATACAGTTTTTGGATATTTTTATGCGTGCTTGTTCTGAATATTTCCCTTTTTCGTCTTCGTCATTGTACATACTGCCTATTTGTGACGTGAAATAATGAAGCTTTTTCCTCATTTAAGATTTTCTAGTGGTTTAGGGGTTAATTCATCCCATTACAGACCGCTACTCGAAGCTTTTCTAAAATTATTTGAAGCATTGTCCGGGTTGTCGATGAGCTCGTATTTTTTGAGGAACCGCTGTAAGAATGCGTTATGATTCAGTTTTTTGAATATGATATTCGAACTTATTCATTGCTCTATGGACAGTCGGCGATATGGAATGGTCTTCGTTGAGATTAATATCTGGAGCATTTGGACCGCGTCTTAGTTTGCGAGAGCTACCCTAGTTGGCAAGCGGGGAGCACGAGATGAACGCATCGCGACCGCACGCGCAATTTTTATATGTTGCGAGTAGAGCATCACATCCTATATTGTTCGAAAGCTGCTATGTGAGTGATTTGCTTTATGATTAACAACCATTCTCATACCCATTTAGAACGGTATTTTGAACCACACTCTCTTTAAATAGACTTTATTTCAATGGACATTTGCTCACGTTTACACAAAGGGCTATAGATGTCTTAATAAGCCGAGCTAAGTGTATAGACCTTGTTCTTTCAGTTGCTTGAATCGCTCAATATCCGTGAAGTATCGAAAGCAGTTACAAACACTGCGTAAATACCATAGTTGTAGAAATAGCGTAGAGCCGAGTATCGAAAGAAGGACAAGGGCGGAGCGCTCTGAAAATTCAACCTTATCAGGTATCCAAATCAGTCGTTGGTGTATATCATGGCGATGTACATCTGATATGTCTAATAAGGGCATGCCGTCTTAAGTGTGACTTAGTAAAGTCTCCTAGAGGACGCTTTCAAATGCTCTTTCTGCTGGGAGTAGCCGACTAGCGGTCACCCACGGCGAAAGGTCTCACAGTTAAGGAGAGTAGTGTACCGTTGGAAGCTGGGAGAGTAGGTGGTTCTACCGGTAACCGTGAAAACAAGTCACAGCGCACGCTCTCTAGTAGAATTTCCTCGGAAAGCCTTCCACGGTCACTGACTTGGAATTTAGACCTAGGCTGGAATTCGTCTCAAAAGTTCTCTAAAGCGAGTGGAGCAATGAGACTGAGATGGTTGATGAACTTGAAATTCAGGCATTTTTGGATCAAAAAAGCTATGCAGTGATGAGGCAAACTTACTGTACTGGGTTTCTGCTACGGTGACATCGACAAGATGACGGAGAATGTATTTTGTATTACAAGCTACAGAGATACTGATCATTCCCATGGTGATAGCAGTGGCAAAGGCGGTGACAACCTGAAAATCACAGTTTTCAAAAAGCTCTCAAGGAATTTTGTTGTCTGTTCACAGGCCACTGAAAATGCACACCTGAAGAGCAATAAAGGGATAAAGATGTTTTGGCTTCCTCTGTATCATTCCAACAAATAGGAACATCAAACAGACTGCCATGGCGGTTACTGGTATCGCATATAACTTTAGCTTTGGGCGCCGTTGCTGAAATTTAGACCTGAGATATGTTAGAGGATGCTGGGGGACTGTGTCACACACTCGCGATGGGGAAGAAGGCATGTGTGGAACCTCGTTTATAAGAAACATCTAGTTATGGTCAGTGAAGCAGTCAGTTTTGTCTGGGCCACCGACACCCATCACTTCGACTGGCTTTCTGACAGTTGTGTAGCAGACCGCATACTCATTCGAATACTTCAGTATTCTTTCAATACGTGGCGCATCCTCAGAAGGAATTAGATCGGAGAAGGGCCGTTAACACCCTATCATATATGCTTTTGAAACTTCGAAACCATGAAAGTACATTTCTAATTGGATCAGCTACGGCAGGGGCCATACAGGTGGTAGTAGGAAAAGGCTTGACTGCTCGCTACTTGTCACTGGACCTTAGGAACCTACAGAGGACTTATGGCACCCTTTCACGAGGTCGCTGTGTCCCATTTCAGATTGTGCAGTACAAGATGGTCCTGAAAAACTCACCTCCTGCGAAGTAAAAATGCAGTAGAATAATGCGGTACAAATTACGATGAGAGCATTGAATCCAACAAACCAGGTGGCTGTCTGAACACAGAGTATAGAAGTAATCTGAGTAACTTGTAGAATAACTAGTAACAGTAATAAATAAGTTATAGAAGTGATCTTTAAGAAAGCCCATTTTCGTGACTACCATTAAAAGACCGTTTGATAGACTCAAGTGTGCTGAGTGATTCGACCTATTGCGGAAGGGTTAGAATCAACGAAAGTCCTCCGTTTTGAAAGGAAAACCTTGCTTGCTTGGGCTATGGATCATCTTATGATGGAGTGCATGCCATATCATAGCCACGAATTTTCAAGTTTTATGTTCGCATCTGGTGATATTTGTTGGTCTACCGTTCAGCCTGACCGCGAGCT